GAACTAGAGCATTCGCCAAAGTACATGATAGTTCTAGAAACGTTGCCTCACTGTAGTCATGTGACTCGCTGACGCAACAATACGTTTATCTGTTTTTGAGTTAAGATAGTTTCTATTATTCGTCAAAAATCATAATGGTAAGTCTACTTGACTTTTAACTATAACAAAAACTTGATATTTCTTGAAGTTCAAATTCTATGGTTAGTGTAACCCATGTTCACCGATAGGCTTAACTTCACAATTAAACACCATATAACAGAAATCCCATTTATCATACTTGCTAGCGCTTTCGTAATTACAGCCCTTAATCGTATCTACACTTCTTCGTCCAAACAAAAACTATATATTTACAGCACTACACTAACTAATCGGTAGCAAACAAACTGATTATTAATTATCTGACTAGCAGTAACTTTCTGTGACATACTCAAACTATCTCCTAAAGTTGGGAGAAAGTTCCAGACATTTAGGCCATGCTCATCGCGTTAAGTTAAACTTTCTTCTGGCAAAATAACAATACAAGTTTCGAGAAATGTTTACCAGTGTCTATTTATGGAAGTAGAGCTTTAAAACAGTTTTCTGGCATGTTTCCTTTTTGACTGTTTTTTTTAAACTCAAATATCTTTTTTTTATTAAAAAACACGCAAATACACTGAATCAATCAATATTAACTTGATATAATTTGGTCTAAGGACTTTAACATCAAGAGATCTGAACAGAACTTTTAGAGTTTAATTAAATTCAAAATATAAAACAAATATCCATTAACAAATTTTGGAATTAAGTGACTTTCTGAGATGTGACGTCGAAACATGTAGAGTCGTCAAATTTTTGAAGGCCATAGATAGGCTTAAATAAAATGTTTTTAATTGTGTACTAGTTTAACGTTGAATATTATTTATGATTATAAAAAAAGAGTTGTAGACTTTTGGTTTTAATGGACTACTCCTGTCTGTTTCTAGAATGGGACGCCCTTTCGGCTTTCCTCAGGCCGAAACTCGTCCCACCCTAGAAACAGACAGGATCAGTCCACTAAAGCTCAAACTCTGTTATGTCTACACTACCTAAAATTAGAGATGTGACGTACGTGAATGATTCGTACTTTTTGAAGAGGTTTAAGTGGTTTATTGTATAACGGAGAATTTTGGAAAGTTAAACACCGTGCTTCAGTACTTATTATCGATGTTTACGACTCAGCTGAATTTGGAGTTGTGAGAAACACCATACAAAACTACTACTACGACTCAGCTCAGCTTCAAATGTTCGGTTATAATAATAATTTTTTACGATATAATTCTACACGATGTATTTTATTTTTTCGGTAGTGAGTTTTATGTCAAAGATTTTTCTCGGCAAGCATAAAAAATGTTTACCCATTTGTTCCTTTAAAAAAACAAGCTCAATGCTGCGCAACTGATTATCTGCATTGTATCCACCACAGATATCGAGCTCCAAATTGAGCATTGTAAGCTTTCGGATTTTCGATAAGCATATGGCATTTGAAAAATTACATTTAATTATTATGTATTCGGGATCATAATTCTTAATCTAGAAAATAAAGTATTTTTTCTTCAAATCGTTTAAACGATCGATAAGTGTTTAACAATTATTCATCTTATTCTTATATCGACAAATGGGATCTTCATGTTTTTAAGATTTACAAAAGAAGAATATTTAAGGTTTGAATTTTGAAAGATTCAAAATGTCAAATATTTGAAAAGTCAACTATACGCAAAGTGCATTTCTTTCTACAGTAAACAGCCTATTAGTTCAGAAAATAATCCAATTTGTTCTAGGACAATTCTATCAACAGAACATATTTCAAGAAATTTGAACGCAGTTAGCGTGTAAGTGAATGTTTAAAAATCAGGACTTTCTGGGTCTATCAACCAACCCAAGAAACTATTTTAAAACTAGCGTTTTTCTTCTATATTATACAACTCAATCGATTCGTCATCGAGTGTGTATACCCTGGATGTTAAAATCACATGAAACTAAACAAAACCTAACAAAAATCACTAAGTGTTTGTACAGTTGTAAGTTATATTTTTAATATTTCAGTTTAGACGTTTGATAGAGGGAGCTAATGTTGATGATGATGTAATCATCTAGAAAGTTTCGTACAGTATCTAGAAATTAGAGTATACTAGACAACCCATGACCCGTTGGGTCACCCACTATTCAGAGGTTATGAAGAATTCAAACTAATTTAAATCTTGCACCGAAATGAAGGTTTATTTTGAGATAACGTAATTCAATATTTCAATCCATTCATGATATTCATAATTCAAGAAAATATATTTGATTGTTGATCGGGAGTAAAAGTAAAGAACATTTCATTTTTCAAAAAAGTGAAGTCAGAGTTTTCAGGTATTGTGATGAATTAGTTCATTATGTTGTGGTCTTTCCTCTTAAACCTTCTACGAATAAGAAACAGTAACACTTTATTTTTCTTCGAATTACCTACCATAACCAAGGAAC